CCCCCCACTGGAGCATCCTTCTGGGCACAGCCAGCAAGGAGCTGAGTCACCACCAGCACCTGGTGTCATCGCCCTCAGGACCTGCAGTAACCACGGAGTGGCTCCTCGGTTGCTCAGGCTACTGGGGCAGGCCCCCTGCTTCCTGAGGCCCAGACTCCCGGTCAGGGGCCTCTGCTAGGCCCCAGCCTGAGGGGGCTCCCCAAAGCAGCTCAGACTTGGCAAGGAGGACTCTTTTCCTCCTGCCCTGTTCCAGCCCTCTGTGGGGCATCCCCTTCAGACATCCTGCCTAGGCTCTCGGTCCACATTCCCCAGGGATAACACAGATAGGCCTATGGGTCTGGGAATGTGGTCAGCCAAAAGTGGGGGGCGGGGGTGCAGCGAGGTAGTGGGAATGGGCTTGGAATGGCAAAACATTCATCCAGAACTTTTCCCCAGAATATTGAAACCACCATTCTCAAAGGGGGTAAATTGCCAAGTAGAGAAAACCTAGTTTTTATTGCTACAGAAACAAGACCCTTCCTCTCAGCCACCACATACCCTCATGACACACCAGAGCTAAATTCAGAGGTAAAAGGTGCATGTTTCTATACCGTCCACCAGTTCCGAGCCTCTGGAGGGGTAAGGTCCTAGCTCTGGGAAACCTTAGCAGCAGTGAGCAGCAGTTCCTGTCCTCAAGAAATGTCTTTCTGGTGCTTGGGCAGCAATCTAATGGCCTCTGGGTCCCCAGTGCTGTGGGTGGCAGGGAGTCCCCCTTCTGTGCTGGGGTCTGGAGGAAGCCAGGAGGAGGGAATTTGGTTTGCTTCCTTGTCTGGCTAGCTTGCTTGAAGACATGGTCTTGGTAGGGAACCACACCCATGAAGCCAAAGACGAGGAAGAGCAGCCTCATCAGACTTGCCTCCCTCCTCAGTCTTCACGGGCCCCATGGGCTGTGGAGTGCTTCTGCCTAGGCACGGTGCTGGGGCCTGAGCCAGAGCCACTTGGCTTAGAAACCACAGAATGCAGATGGAGGTTTTTCCACTGACTCTTGCACAGTTCTGGTAAGACCAGGTTCTGGCACTAAGGCTCCAAAGACTCAGGTCTCCGCAGTTCCTCCTCTCAGAACTCCCATAGTGGTGTAGAGGCCTTGGGTCCTGCTAACATTCACTTGGAAAGTTCTTTCAAACATTAACCTCGATCCATCTTAGGGTTTCCTTCTTTCCTATACAGGGCCAGCTCTGCCCTAACCATTAGGCTGCTGGTCCTGGCTGGGGCTGGACTTCTCTGTAGTTTCTCAGCCCTTTCCAGGGACCTAACTTTCTGCTACATCCTGGCTTGGACATCAAGACCCAGCCCCAGGTTACCCTGTAATGAGTCCCTCAGACTGGGACCCCACAGGCTCAGTATCCAGCTCCCCTAACTCCACACCCAGCTCTGTCCCAGCTCCTTCTGGCCTTGCCCTTTGAAGACCCCAAATACCAAGGGTGTCCTGTTGGCAACTCCCTATCCAGTCCTGCACGAAGTCTTGGCTGTGTGGCACCCCCCTCCCCCGCAGAGCAGCTGGCCCCACTGGCTCCCACTGGCTCCCACCTCCCCAGCCCTGTCCCCAGGAGTCAAAGGAAGCAGCACAACTTTTCTCTGTCCTCCAGGGGCCTGGAAGGGATATGGGTATGCCCTGGGTACATCTGTCCTGCCTTGCCAACTGTACCCCCTATAGCTCCTGCTCGAGACCCTAGGATCAGAGGTGCTGCCCTCCCCATCTCCTGGACAAAGCACAAAGGGATGCCCTGCTTGGCCTGAGCCTGCCTTACTGAGGGACTTTTGCCCCAGGAAGCTTCCATCCCTGAACACAAGACTTTGGGCAGTTTCTCCCTGGGTGGGTACCCACTGGAATGTCTGGCCTCAGTCCTGGAAAAGGAGGTCAGGGTGCACAGGCAGTGAACTAGAGTGGGAGAAAGGCAGTGCTGAAAGGACTGATTCTAGGAGTAGGTTCATTCACCCAGTCATTCATTCAGTCAGTCATTCATTTGTGCAACAGCCCTGAGCACCACCAGCACTGGGGGCAGAAGAGTGAACAGCCCACCCCCACCCCCCACCCCCCACCGGTAGGAAGTTTGGCCAGGAAGGCCCCACCTTGTAACTCCCAGCTGAGTGTGTGAAGGATGTGTAGGAGTACATATGGCATTGGCCCCAGCCCCTGCTGACGGGCTCACAAACTCACACAGGCTGGACTTCATGCATGCCGAGAAGTGGTAGGGTGCGGGCCCCTTGTCCCCCAACTCGAAGCTATTTTTTGACTCGCAGGGGGATGAGCCCTGCTACTATATGGGGAGCTTATTTGTAGGGATGCTCCATTTGTTCACTTCTTTGGCAACCACAGAGCATGGCTGAGGATGGGTAGCAGGGATGGAGGGTCTGGCCATTCCTAAAGCACCTTATCCTTCACTCAAAGGAGCTTCCACCTCTGTATCTCACACCTAGGTAAGATGCAAAGGAGAGGAATATCTGAGAGAGCAAATTGAAGCAGGCCCTGCTCTAGGGGTCCCAGACACATGTAGAGCTCCCATGGGCTCCAGCACTCGGGTGTCCCTACACCTCTCCCTGCAATATGGCCTGGACCCAGCATCTGGGAGGCTTGGCACACTCAGCCTGAGCACTTCATCAGGCTTTGGGCTGCTTCCCCATGGCCCTAGAGGGAACGAAGGAGATGCTGTATACATCTGACCCCTGGGAGAGAGGAAGGGTGCTGCCCAGAACCATGGCTTTCCACTGGCCAAGAAACCACCTAAGGACCAAGGCAGCTCAGGACTTCCTGGTCCTGTGAGAGCGGTTTGAACCAGCCCCTCCAGAAGTGCTTCAAAAGCAAAAAGCCACCTCCCTCCCAAGGCCTGCTGCTCCAAGGTTTGGCTCCAACCTTTGCCGTTGGGTCCTGACTATTGCCCTGGTCCTTTGGGCCATGGGTGGGAAGCGGCCCAGGCCCTAGTCCCTCTAAGGTGCTAGGCTGAAGACCTTCCCAGAGGGACTACTGGTGCCAAAGACCCAATTCCTCGGGGGCTTGGGGTGAAGATGGCAGAGATGGTGAGTGGGGGCAGGGCCTCCCTGCCCAGAGGAGTTAACTCAAACTGATCTGTCCAGCCCATCAGTCCCTCCTCCAGGGGCCTGGCACTTCTCTTTTTAACCCTGGTGATCATGCTTTCTTGCCCAGCCTTGTTCCAGGCCTGCATTTCTGTATATACTGCTGTGTATCGTGTGTATGTATTTATTCCTGGACAAGTGTATTCATCTGCAGCTTTTGCCTGAGGATAAGGTTTAGGATTGGGTGAAGACCGGAATACCAGGGCAACCAGCTCCTACTCCTTCCCTAACCCCCTGGGACCCTCGCCAGTCCCAAGACTGCCCTGACAATCAGGCAGGCTTCCCCGCCACAAGCCCAAGCCTTGTCTGCTGTTGCTGGCACAGTTCCAGGGGGCTTGGCCTTGGGCGGCCTGGCCTCAACTCTGCCCTGGCGGGGTCTTGCATTCAAGTGCAGAGGCCGGAGGCAACCTTGAGGCTTGCCTCATGACTGGCACCAGTAGGCTTGGCTCTCGGCACTGCTAGTGGGGACCTCCTCAACCGGCCCCCAGGCCTGCCTTCCCTGCACAGCCAGGCTGCAATGGGCCTGAGCTGTGAGGGTAGCTTCCCCCACCCCAAGCACAGCAGGCGGAGGGGTGCAGAGCGTTTTTTGGTTTTGTTTCTGAAGTGGTGCCTGTACCTCCAGCCCCCAGGGGGCCTTCCCTGGCCCCACTTCTCCCCCCCCCCCCCCCCGCCGCCAGGCATCACCATCTCAGCACTTTGCTCCACGTCACCCATAGATGCCCTTCGCCGAATGTACCTGAGTGTATGTATTTAAAAGGACTCACATGGGCATCAGAGAATTTATGACTTTGTATCCAATAAAAGATGGTGAAACTGGATTATCTGCCAGGGAAGTAAATGGTAGGTGGCCATATTTTTGTCTGTCTGTGTCACCAAGCCTTTCTGCAGTTCAAGTGCACTGAGGCAGGAAGTGGGTGGATGACCTGAATGGCATCAACAGTGAATAAAGCATTAGGAAGACCTGTCGCAGGGCTGCAGACATCACTGTCCCCACCAGAGCTCACTTTTGGTATCTGCACAAGCTGGGGAGGCCATCTTTATGGACAACCCCAGGACAAGTCCAGCAGGAGCACCAGACACTGCCCGGCCCCTCAGTGGCTTGGCCACCTCCGTAGGAAGCTTTAGCCAGCCAATCAGGCTTTGGCCTGGGGGAGAGACCAAATTGCCCATCACTTTGTGGCCTCAACTCCCCCATTCTGCCAAATGAGGTTGCCCCACTGATTAGATTACTCAGGTCTGGAAATATTTAAAATCAGAAAAAAGACCAGATGCTTGGGCTTAAATTGCGTGTGGTTTTAGCATCAAACAAGATGAATATTCATCCCCACAACTCTGAGACAACTATTCTTATGTTCCCCACACAGGCAGGGCAGCTGAGGTTCAGAAAAGTTAGTTTACCCAGAGACTGTCAAGTTCGGAGGGATGCCAGACTACACAGTCTGGACCTGCCCACCACCCCATCCTGCTTGAGTCCCTCTAACCAAGAGTGGGCCAAACTCAAGAGATTTTCTTTTTAATCACCTCCCAGTGTCAGGCAACTAAAACTTCCGTGGCTGAAGGTCACAGAGTCACACCTCCAGCTTCAACAATTACTAATGGTAGTTAGCTACAGGCCGGCTCTCAGGACTAGTGTGAACGAGACGGCAGTCAGATCCTGCTGATTTCCACTTTATCTGTGCTGGCCACTCCAAACCTCCACTGGTCGGTCAGAAGAAAGCAAAAGGAACCCCCAAGACCATTAGTGGCTGAACCAAGACCAGGTGGGTGCTCCTTCAGCCACCTCCTCAATGGACTTCTAAGGAATCACCACAGAATTTCAAGAGGATGTGGCCTCTCTAGAACATTTCTCCAAGAGCCCTCAACCATGAGATCCTGAAAAAGGAGAGACCAAAGACTGAGCCAAGAGTATGGAGGTGGAAGGAGTAAACAAGGTAATGTAACACATCTACTCAAACCCACAGAAACCCTGGGAGCAGTGCCCGGTGAGGCCAGGGCTAAATAAGATGACATCAGAAAAGCAAGGGACTCCACATCTCCTAGCCACTTCTGGGACAAAAAAAAACCCCAAAGTGAAACTTCCGGATGGAGGCCCCTCAAGTGGAGCTCCCTGCCTGCAGAGCAGACCCATACTCTGCCTTAACAAAACCAGAGGCTGTTGAGGACTGAGCCCAACAGAAAAGAAGAAAATTTTTCTATCTGTGGGTGAGTATATACAAAAGTAAAATTCTGAGCTGGAGTCAAGACATTTCCAAGTAAAACTCCTGTGCCCAAGTAATTTGCAAAGTGAATTCTAAGTCTTACGTTTATTTAAATAACCTCCAGTGAGAACAGAGTGGGCCAATTACTACCCTTTCCTCCTAATACCAATGGACCGAGACAGGGAGAATAAGCATACCCTGCAGCCAGCCCGCCAGCCACTCGCGTGAGGGGCAGGGTGCCTCTCAATGCGGGCGGCCCCGGCCCCGGCCCCGGCCCGCAGCTGGGGGAGCGTCCACTGTTGAGCGAGGGTTTTTGATGGTTTCATCTACCGACACGATAAGGCAGGCGGCCTCAGAGGCTGCGGTCAGGGCATTGATGCGCACCATGGCTGGCTCCCACACGAAGGCCTCGAAGTTGTCGGCAATGTCCTCGTTGTTGATGTCCACTCCGTACCACATGCCCCCCTGACAGAACAGGAAAAGAGGGGAGGTTAATAGGGAACTGCTCTCAAATTTCTCCTCACATATCCTCCAAAAGACTCCGGGCATTAGGAAACCTCACTCTCTTGAACTTGCCTGCATTTCCCCAAGGAAGATGGCGTCCGCCTGGCATCACACCAGGAACCTGGACGTGCATGTCTTCCCACCCGTGCCCCTAACACCCACCCCCTTCAAACCCTAAACATGCTGCTCACAAAAGAGCTCTGGGCCCTCTTCCGGGCAACATACTGTGTTTTGGGGAGGTCCCGTCCTCAGGTCACCCCAAGGACTGTGTATTTCTCAAGAGGAACACTTTCTAATCCCTTACTAAGCTCACTGCTTCCGTCAGCCCCCATTTCAGATGAGGAAATGGAGGTGCAGAGAAGTGAATGATACGCTTCAAGCCCTCACACAAGTCACAAACAAGGTCACTCACTGAGTGCTTTTGTCACAGTGCCGAGCACTTAACACATCTCTCTCAACAAACACTTGCTAAACAGCAAATAACAAATTAAGCTCGCAGAGAGATCCCAACCTAGAGGCGGTAGAGCTGTGGCTGGGCCGCTGGTTGGCAGGGCTCCGGCCCGCTTCACCCGCACCCTGGGGAACCCATACACGTGGTCAGCGTGTGCTTCCAGGGAGGAGGCCGCAGGGTCCCCCTGGCTCCTCCGATGGCACCGCAAGGAGCAGGATCATCTTCAGTAGAGGCACTGAAGAAAGCCCTGGAAGCTCCAGTCCTGGCACCGCAGCTTTCTCTCTGCCCTCAGAGGCCCAGTTAGCTGGTACTGGCTTCATTTCCAGCCCTGTCCCTGGGGCCCAACACGCAGAGCTGAGCAGGCGCAGCACACGCTCAGCATTCATCCCCACACACCCAATCCCTGGGCCCCAAGGGGAAGGACCCACCTGGGCATGCCGCGCCCGCAGCTTGTTGAGGATGTTCGTGGCATCAAAGCCAGCATTGTCACACAGCTGGCGTGGGATAATTTCCAAGGCCTTGGCGTACGCCCCAATCAACAGCTGCTGTTTTCCTGGAATGGTCCTTGAGTAATCCCGCAGGTACTTGGAGAGCTCCATCTCAATGGCCCCGCCACCAGCCACCACTGAATCGTTCTGCAGAGACCAGACGCACCTCTCAATGCTAACAGGCCCCTGGTCCAAGCTCCAGCCACAGCCAAGCTGGACCAGCCGGTCAGCAGGCCCTCTAGCACAGAAACGGGAGTGGTTCCTCATTCCTCCCACATCCCAAACCCCAGGAAGCCTAGATGCGGCTCTTATCTAGCACATCCCAACTGCAATCCAGTGAACCTTCTGGTTCCTGACCATCTTCAAGGTCACCTTGTAGTTTGAGGGCACTGGTACAATCACTGGGATGGCTGACGACAGCAGCTTCCCTGCTGGCTCACAAGTCATAGCCTTTAAGGCGGCATGACCTATTTTGAGAGACTGAGGCTATTTCTCTATGACTTGTGAGGCAACTCAGGGAAGACAGGTTATACAGGGAAGAAATCACCACACAAATCCAGGGTCTTATCGGCTGGGGAGGCAGGACACCCCCAGCCTAGTACCTTGATGGCCCTCCTGACAATCATGATGGCGTCGTGCAGGGACCGCTCTGTCTCCTCCATAAACTGCTCAGCACCGCCACGAAGGATGATCGTGCAAGTCTTGGCCTTGGGGCAGCCAGTGAAGAAATTGTACCTACACCCAGGATCAAATCACACACGTCAACCTCTTTCTGCTGCCAGCCTGCTGCGTCTGACCTCACCACGTCCTCCCAGCTCGGCAGCTGCTCTTCTGTTCCTCACTAGGGCTTTCTAATCCCACTCTTGTAGACATGTTTTGGGGAAGGTTTGGGGCTGTACCCTGGGGCATAAAATAATGCGGAGTCAGACTTTAGACCCAACTTGATCTCCTTCCCTCTCGAAATACTTCATATCTGAGTTCTTTATACCCCAAAAGGTGAGACCTCAAAAAAGAGTAGCAAATGCTGTATACCACCCCCCAAAAGATGGCAGAAGGCCAGACTCAGGCAGGTCCCGTGAGCTCAACCAAGAGGCAGTCCAGGCCTATGGCTTACCTCTCACCTCCAATCTGGGTCTCTTCAAAGACCTGGCAGCGGCCCAGCACATCTGACGACAGAGCATTCACACTCGTTTGAATGGAGCCTCCGCAGGCCTGATGAGCACAAGAAGGTGAATCACCTGGCAGTTAAGGCTCACGTGAAGCCAGAAGAGAGCTTCGTGCCATCTAGCCTCAAAAGCCAATTCTCACGCTAAACCCTGCCACAGAGCCCCAGAGCCCCCTGCCCTGGATAACCCACTCTCACCGTTACCCCCTGGAAGAGGAGAAAATAAAACAGAACAAAGACACATGACAGGCAAGCAGGCCTAGTTAAAAGGAGATGGGGACCCTTTACTTCACCCAAAACCCACTCCCCCAAACTAGCGTGCCTTGGGCCCAACAACTAGTTAGGATCGGTGCTTTGGACCTAACACGTCTTTGGTGAGATGCTCAAAAGAAAAGGAGGAAACCTTGCGGAAACACCAGTACTTGAGTTTATACAGCTGATCACAGCATTACTACTAGGTACCCTCACAAATCAGATTTCCTAACTTGTTTCAGTTACACTGAGCATGTACACATGGGGACTGGAGTGCTTCAAGGCAAAAAAAAGCAAAGACACGCCTAGAGTCACATGCCAACCTGAGAGTGCACTCCAGTATACCGGGAGTAAATGAAAACCCCTCCAGGCCCGCAAAAGCCAAGAAGCAGCACACGAATGTTCGGTTACCATCATTGTCCTCTTCAGATCCTCCTCCGGCACTCGGCCAGCACAGAACATGTCCCTGTCGGCAAAGTACTGGGTGGCCACATCCCCGATCGGGAGTTTGGACAAGACGACTTTGGCTCCAGAATGATGGATCCTCTCTAACTTGTCATAGAGAATATTCCATTCAGCATCAACAATTGCCTGATAATCCTGAAGAGACCCAGAAAAGGATGAGGATGCTTTTGGAGAGAGATTAGCATAGATGGTAGGCTAAAATATACCAACCCCCAGAAGTAAAATATGCTGATTTATCTGGGAATTAACAAGGGTAACCACAATCGCCTCTCCTCAGTCCAACTAAACAAGGACCCCATACAGTAACTTAGCAACCACCTAAAACTTTCAAACACCAAAACAGAAAATAACCCCAGGACTGGGGGTTCCTCCAGAGCTGGCATGCCAAGATTTAAGAAATAGTTTAGCCTCACAGAGTTCTACATTCCTCTGAGAAGCTGTACCCGTGGAGTTCCCAACGACAAGACCCCTTCCCCCAGAGGCCATTCCGTGTTGGGGGCACATTACCTAACAGCACCTGCTTATAGCTGGGTGACATGGCTACCTCCAGAGACAGCCTTGGTATTATCAGTGATGGGAGCACACCTGTCCCTACAGTGTGGGACCCAGTGTAGGAGAACCTTCATCTGCTCAAAAAGGAGGACTCAAAATCCTGGGCTCGGTGAATAGGTGGAAGGCCACCGCCAGCCCCTTCCCTGGGGCCAGAGGAGAATATTACAGCAGGCCTTCCCTATCCAAATCTCTTCACGTTCAGGTCACTCTGAGTAGAGTGGGAAAAGAAGTGGGCCTGGTACTTGGACATCAACATATTCAGGGGGCCAGGAGGAGAATGGGGTTCATAGGGAGCCTGAGATACAGAGCTGGGCCCAAGATGGCCACAAAGACCCAAGGCTTTATTTTTTTAAGACTTTTTTTTTTTTAAAGATTTTATTTATTCATTTGAGACACAGAGATACAGAGAGCGAGCATGAGCAGGGGGGGAGAACAGAGGGAGAGGGAGAAGCAGGCTCCCTGCTGAGCCAAGAGCCCGACATGGGGCTCGATCCCAGGACTCTAGAATCATGACCTGAGCCGAAGGCAGATGCTTAACCGTCTGAGCCACCCAGGCGCCCCAAGATCCAAGGCTTTAGCCCAGAAAGCTGACCGTTCCCCGGCCACTGCCAGCTGATAGGGCCTACCTCAACCGTGTGGACTCTGATTTCAGCATTATCTTTCTCAGCTTTCAGCTCAAGCTCAACATTTAAAAGGGCAATCATTGGATTATTGTACTTTTTGGGTTGCATTTCAAACCCAGCATAAGAGAAAGTCTTCTTGAATGCGACGCCAGCTACCAGCTGGGACTCCTGTTTAAAAACAAACAGTCAACAGTTCAGTACTGGCACGAAAGGAAATCAAGCCAGTGGTGTACTAGGCTAACGGGTGTCCATTCCCCCGAACATGAAAGAGTTAACCATGTCTTTACTTTGCTGTTACAACAAAGCCTTTTCATTTACATAAAAGCTTGGAAAAATACAAAACGTATTTCGGTTGTCCCTCCAGTAGAAAGAAATCAATCCTTCAGCTTGCAGAGACCAAGCACGGTAAAGGGCTGTATGGGCCATCCTCTGAGCCTGACCTCCGAAGCAGGAGCCAAGGGAGAACGCTGAATGCCAGCCTCTGGTGCCAGGCACGGGACCGGGCGTTTATGAATAAGGCACAGGCTGCCCAATGCCTCCCCCTTCAATCCCAACTCAACCCCCCGCCCAGTCTTCTACTGGACACCCTCCCCACAGCCCTCTGTATCTGCCCTGCATGCGTGCACACACACTGGGACCTGTGTGCAGGAGCCTAGGTGCTTCCACTTCCCAGGATGCAAAGGGTCAGAAACTCCCTGTACAGTTCCCTAGCTACAATTGTGGCTTCCTACATTTCAGTCCCTCAGAACATGAGCTTCCTGTGGGTTGGATTTAACAGGAGCGAATAGTAAGAAAGCATGCTGCACTTGGGACTGACTTCAGCACTATCAAAAGACGGGTTCAGATCCCAGATCTCTTTCTTACTAAATGACCAAGTCATTTCCCACTCGATAAAAAAGGGTATATTCAGCTCAATGACCTCTCTGTTCTCTGCCAATGCTAATCTCTAATTCTGTAGTCTATCAGTGAACATGTTTGTGCATCACTCAAATCCACAGCATCCCAAAGGCGGTGATGCCTGAGCTTAATCAAGATGGATAAGCAGAAATCAAACAGAAAAAGGGAAAGGTGTTCCGCAGAGGCAGTGTGGTGGCATCAGAGAATGCAAAGCCATTGGCAGCTGCAGGAATATAAAGCAGAGGGCAGGGGTCAGTGCAGGAGAATCTTACAGGCTCTGCTAAAGCCTGCCTCTCATCCTGTATACAATGTGGGAACCCCAACAGGCTTTCCACGGGGTAGTAAATTGTGGAACTTCACCTTAACAACAGAAAACAGGGCTGACTGAGGGGATCCAAGACTGGAAGAAGGGTGGCCACTGCCAGGACAATGGTCTTGAGAGTAAGTGAAAGAGACAGCTCACGGAAGTAAGTAGTAAATTGGCAGGCAAGAGGAGACAATGGTGATTGACAGGTTGTGAGGAGTTGTAAAGATTTTTGGAGAAAGTTTTTTTATTTTTATTTTTTGAGGAGTTGTAAAGATGACCCTGGATTCCTGGTGTGTGAGTGACGTGAGTAAATGATGGAGACACCAACTATGTCAAGGAACACAGAAAATGCTACAGGTCTGGAGGACTGAGATGAGTTCAGCAGCAGATAGATACAAGACCATGAGGCTCAAGGGGGAGGTAAGGACTGAAGATACAGATCAGGAAGTTCTCAGTTAATCCTGAGAATAAGTAAATAATTACTACCACCACTTATTGAATTCTGTGTGTCAGGTTTTATATGCATTTAAGAAATGTGGGACGGCCTAAGGAAAAAGTAGGCTGGAGCCCTTGGCTTTCTCACCAGATAAAATTATTATTTTGATCCGTAGCTGAGTGAATGCCAATCTAATCTCAAGAGTCTAGGGAAACAGGAAGACCCGGAGAAGATGGGCGACTGCTACCAAAGCAGTGGGTAGAGACAAAGTCAGTAAACCGTGATGGGCTGAGAAAGGAGCGGTACAGGGGCCAAAGATAGGGGAGTTGCTCAGATGACCTTCAGATTCCTCATAGCTTTATTACAGAAGAGAGAACCTCAGTCTACTGACATGTGCCAAGACAGAAGGAAGGAGAACAGAGTGGGGATGTAATCTAGAAGGGTAAAAGTCAAAGAAAAAAAGTGAAGGGTCGGGCCAGGATATAATATTTCAGGCAGGTCTTGCCCTGTCTATAACACCTCAGGCCAGGTCACCAAGGTGGAGTAAAGAAGTAGGGCAGGCCAGAGTGGAGAAGGGCCAAAAGGGCACGGAGATACCAACATCAAAAAAGGCTTCCGGACAGATACCACTGTGTTAAAAAAGAACAAGTTACAGTTATGCTGGGCAATGCAGTTAGCCATGAGCCACATAAATAAATAAAAGTTAAATTAAAAACAGTTCCTCAGTTGTAGTAACTGCATTTCAAGGGCTTGGTAGCTACATATGGCTAATGGCTACCATAAAATGGACAGCACAGACAGGTAACAGTCCCGCCATCGCAGAAAGTTCTACCATGCAGCACTGAATTAAAAGCCCCACATGCTGATATGGATCAAATTCTAAAATATGTTGTTTAATGGACAAAAGGGAGTTACAACACTGTGTATTATAAATGAACACTGTGTTTAGAAAAGCACTATTTACATATGTACTTAGAAATACACAGACTAATTCTGGAAGCACCTGCACGCCCATGTGCGTGCGTGCGTACGCGTACGCGTGCGCACGCACGCACACACACACACACACACACACTTAATAGTGGTTGTATCTGGGGCAGGAACCATATAGGGGACATTTATTTTTATCTTTAGGCCCCTTTATACATTTAGAACTATGTATCATCTATGCAAAATAAATGAGTAAAAGGGAGAGCTTGGGCGTGTCCCTTGGAAAAGAGTGGACTGAGAAGTACTTCTCAGATTTATTAACTGAGAGGGTCATAGGTAAGCTATCGGGTGGAGCTAGCGCTGCCCCCTTCCACATCACACTGAGATCCTAAAAATCAACGAGTTCAATCTGCTCTTGTGCCGACAAGTAAACAGAGGTCCAGAGAAATTACAAAATGTATGTATAGTCACAGGCTGTAGCGACAGCGTGGGGACTACAACTCAAGTCTGACTCCCAGCCCAACATGCATTCTCTCAACACCTGGAACGTGTGCTCACCTCCTATACCAACCTGCCTGGAGAGTCCATGTGAATGCAGGAGCCTCCTAGGGAGGCGGCAGCAGGCTTACCTCTAGGGCACCACCTTGCACCTTCTTGATTCCAATCATTTTAAGCTGCAACAAATCGTCAAGCATTATCACCGCATCCACCACCATCTTAGCGAAGAAGGCTTTCTGCTGGGAAATCAGCTTGGAGCTCAGAGCGGTCATGGCACACTTCTCCAGCAGCTTCCTCTGCTCCCTGGGACATAAGGACGGGTGGGACCTGCGTCAGGCCCGGAAAGCCCCTCTTGTCTGAGTCTACTGCAATGTGGAGGGGGTGTCTGTTCTGGTCTCCAAACTCAGCCCACACCAACTTCATCTTCCACATCTTTAGGACAGATTATCACTGACAGATGGTGACTGCAGTCAGAGACCTCATGTGTGACAGCTTTAAAACTACAGTGTACAGCCCCTTTTGTGCTGTGTGAGCTGGGGCACCGCCAAGGGTCTGGCAAGAGCCAAATAGCCCCAGGCCCATATAGGGTGGCAACACGCTTCTAAGTCCAATTTGGCCACAGAAGTCAAGGTTCTGACAAAGCCCACCGAAAACTTACACTTTATCTTCCTTCTTCACGGTCACAGCGATCTCTTTGATCTTGTTAACTGCCTGCCAACAACAGAAGCTGAGTGAGTCTCTGGTGCCAGAGGCAAACTGGAGAGGTGGGTCCCAGTCTCTCTTGCCACTCTCCAATCTGTTTACTCCCAAATCTTAAACATTCCCATTCTGCAGCTGAAACAACACTTCTAAGTCTGGTAGCTGCCCGGAAACACACATCTTTACAGTTTAGGAAACTCCCAGTGACCAACAGGTAAAGGCACAGGTATGGTGTAGGTATAGTTCTGAAGAATCATCAGGGTATTTCCAGGATTTAATTCTGAATATGCAGGGAACACACTAAAATAAATGAGTGGAAACAACCTAAGACGCTAGATTGGGCCAAACCTTCTGGCTTATGGAAAACACCCATGACGACGTCTAGCGCTTTATATATTAATTAGATATGTTATGCAATATATTTGTATGTTAAACTTAGTATCTTTTCAAAAGCACTTCTCATATATGATCTCGTTTTAATGTTACCAACCTGAAATAGATAGTAAATAACTTTTTGGGCGGTGAGGGGGCAGAGAATTTCAAGCAGACTCCGCACTGAGCATGGAGCCTGACTCGGTGCTTGATCCCACAAACCCCAGATCATGACTTGAGCTGAAATCACGAGTCAGACACTTAACTGACTGAGGCACCCACATGCCCCTGAAACAGAGACAGTAAAGGGAGAAAGTGAAGCCTAGAGGGATTGACTTGCCCAAGATCACAGAATGAAGGTCAAAGATCAATAAAAGCAGGGTCTCAAGATGTGCGCCATGAGGAACTTGATAAAAAATCAAAAAACACCAGCTCTCACTTACTGAGCCCATCAGGAAACCTGAGGCTTAAGGAGATAGCTACTGAATGGTAGAACTGAGATTCGTAGGGAGAAGTCAGAAAACGTCCAAGGAACCCTATTACCAGTCTCCCTATACCCTGCTAAAGGTATCCTAAGAGAAACATGAAGGTACCCAGGCACAAGGCCAAGGTAGCCAATATTCCCATACCAACTGGGTGGCAGTGCGGAAAGCTCGGATGATGATCTGTGGGTGCAAACCTTCCTCCACGTAGGGTTTCACTTGCTTCAGAAACTCTGCAGCCAGCAGGGTCACTGAGGTGGTACCATCACCGACCTGGAAGAGGATGACAGGAAATTCACATTTTCTTATGTTTAGAGATAAAGCCTGAAACGCCTTTTTTAGGCAACCTACCCATTTAAACTGGGGACTGTTTAATGGGTGTGAAATGTGTTTTCTGGAAGCAGAGGTGATGGCAACAAGTACAAGGAAGGTGATGGTAGTTAGGTATCCATCCCATCAAACGGCTTTGGGCTACAAAATTAATTCCCCAGCCAGGCCCATTCTTCAAAGAGGGCTGATTTGGACACTCAAAGTTCCTCAGGATATAAATCACATAAGCAGATTAACCAAGAACTTATTCATTGCACACAGGCATGATGAATAAGATAGTCTCAGTCACACTTATAATATAATGCTTAAGTGTCTCAAGTAACCACGGTAGCAAGAGACATGAGACAAATATTCTTTAAGGAGTACAAAGTACTACAGGAGTTTACAAAAAAATAATTTCCAGCCAAATCCCACTAAAACAAACCTTCCAGGACCAGTCAAAGTCCTTTACATTTTAAACACTGTTTGGAATAGGCAGATCACTAGTCTGCTAACCTTTCTAACATAGTCATTTTCTACAATGGGATCTAAACCCTATTTTTAATGAGGGAGAAAAAGAATAAGAGCTAAAACCAGCTCACCTCTGATTTGGTAGAAATTTACTTTCAACTCACTTATGTCCACTGTGTAATGTGAGGGATTTTCAAGGGGGAAAAAGTGTTACTGTGGTAAAAGGTTTAAGCTGCCAAATTCCTGGCCAGAAAGGTATTAGTCCCTTGTTGAAGACAGTTACAGGTCAAATCCAGACTATTCTCACTTTAACTTTATACAAGCAATACTGTTTCATACACTACTGGGTCCTAATAAACCTTTCTATATAACTTCAGAACATATTTGTAATACTCTAAAATGCAAGCCTGTTTCCTCTCAACATTTTTTTTTATTATTTTTATTTTTTTAAAAGTTTTTATTT